CTTTAATGGTCCACTGCTGGACATAGGCCTCTGCTTAGAAAGGTTTCGGCCTACTATACCACGCTGGCCAGACGGGTTGGTATAGGGTTTGTTTCAAGTTTTTCTTCTCTTTGCAGTGCTGATGTCTTTTAGTTTGGTCCCTTAGTCGGCTCTTACCACATCCACGGTATGAATAGGGGTGGTGACATTCCGTATTCTTTATCCGTCACTACACGGATATGATCTAAAATGTCGGTTTAAAAAAAAACGAATTTCAGTTTTTACCGTATTTGGATACTGGAGATTATTCCAATCTTTGTTTCAGATTGGTTGTGCGAGGCGCAGTGGTGGAGTGCCAAGTATCCAAGTGATGGGGGTGTAAGTTTCTTCATATTATGGTAGTTATGGTGTGATATAGTTCCTAGCTATTTTAGACTTTAATAGCATTAGCCAAAACGATTTGGACGTTAATTATTTCCTCTATTGTACATATTAGATGTGTAATGAGGACTTTATTCATGATAATAATAATGGGGTACAATACCACTTCACATGGGAGCTTGCAGTAGGCCACCTGTGACCACGGATGTTGCGACCACGCATGGTCTGACCACGGACGATCTGACCACGGATGGTCTGACCACGAGTGGTCTGACCACGGATGGTCTGACCACGGACGATTTTACCGCGGTTGCAATTAGACCAAAACGTCGGTTAACCAAAAAAAAAATTGCATGTGCTTATAATTATACATTTGATAATAACTATTACCCGTCCGTGTTTATATTAATAAACATTTAAAATACACAAAAATTTACGCTACAAAGATAAATTGCAAAAGAAAAAAAAAATTTTTTACTACAATGTATAATTGTGGCATAAAATAAAAATTACACATACACACACACACGCTATATTACACATTTATATATTTTATAGTAGATATACATATATATTTAATTTAAATGCCGTCTAAAATTCTCTTAACACTATTTTTACAACGAAAAAAAAATAAATTAAAAATAATAATCACTATCTACTTACAATGAATAAATTATTATCACCTAACTTTACCTATATCTAATAAAAAAATATTTTAAACTATTAAATGTACAACTTATATATTTATAAAAAAAATTGTGCGATCAAAACGAAAAGCCTAATATTTATTCTACACACATTTGTTAAAAAAAGTACTTGAAATTGGCAACACTGTTCTTCTATTTTTGGCAAAAAAATTTTTTGTACCAGCAACTATTATGACGTGCTGTTAAGTTTTAGCAAAGACGTACCAGCGTAACATTCGTTCTTTTTATTTCTAAACCCTTCCGAGTATGATTTTCCGGCAGAAGAATATCAATAAGCCAGAAGGAAATAGAAAGAAGAATCACCAACCAATATTGAGAAATTTTAAACGTCATTAGTGGGTACTAAACGGGTGCCCAATAGTAACACTAAAAAGCATATACTACTGTGTAACGATATATATGTATACGTCATTTTAGTTATATCTCAGACTCCATACACAACGATCAAAATGCCAGCACAATATTCAATCAAACGGTGTTACCAGTTTCAAAATAAAATATTATATTTGATATTTCCTCCACACACTTCATTGCCTAACACAAAAAAATACTTAACCTAACTTTTTAACGGACGATTGTCGGCCATTCAAATAAATATATTACTATTTACTTTCTATTTATAAATTGTGCTAAAACGTAGGTTTTACATGTATGGCGTGTGAAATACGATTAATAATAATATAAAATATTATAATAGCCAACAAAGACCCATTAAAAAAACATCGAAGACCCCACGTGCTGTGCGACAGCCAAAAACAGCATAGGTATTGCCAAAAGTAAAAAAAAATATACACAATAATTATAGTAAATTTCACTCACAAAGTCGCTCCCTCAACAATTGAACCCTTAAATATATTTATCAACAATAATGATGAAATAGTGGGCAAACGAGCAGGCAGATCACCTGATGGAAAGTGACTACCGCCGCCCATGAACCCCTGCAGCTCAGGAGCCTTTGAGGTCATACACTTTATATTATCTCTTTATAGGATCCCTTTCGTGAATACATTGTAAGAATTAAAAATAAAATAGATGTCTATAGTTTTTATTTTTTACTATAATTATGATATCGTCGCCGTCGATTCCATCGAGCAGCACGAGAGGTCACTTAGGAATCCACAGTTAACGCGTACGTAAAAAAACAATATAATTATATTATTTTAATAAATTTCATTACTAATTAATTTCATAATAGGTATCCAACTTTTATTCTCACTTTGTATAATTTTGTCACTCCGATAGTGCAGATCATGGGCTTGTCAACTAAATTCAAGCAATTTGAGGGTAGTTGGCGAAATTAATGATTGGCGAAAACTGTAGCCTGAAATGACTTAAAAACCCCTATAAGTCAAATATTCTAGTAGTATCTACATTAATTTAAAATTTTCTTAAAAGAGGGCTCTGTCTTCCCTACTGTTTTTTATGACTTCTTGGTATTCTCTTCCCCCCCCCCCCTAAGAAATCGAAGGGGAGGGAGCTTTTGGACACCGCTAAAGTAAGTTACTCATTGAAAAGCAAGGAAAATATTAGCAGTTAATGGTACCAGACCTTAACCTGCTCGAGATATTGCTAACACTCTTGAAACCCCCCCCCCCCCCCCTCTTCCTATAATCTAACACAACAGTCCCATTCAATATACTGCTAATTTGCCTGATGTCCATGGTTTCCAGTTGACGGTAACAAGCTTATGTTATTGGGAGACTCTGATGTTACCAGACTTCAATGTAACTATAGCAGCAAAATAAGGGCGTTAATAACGCTTCTGTCTATCCTTTTGTCTTCTGCGTATCCTACCTATGTATATATAACACACTAGCTTCTGGTCCTTTCTCAAGAATCAAGCTACATATCTCCAAACTATACCAAATTTCAACGGAATGGGTTCAGCGTTTATTGATTCCCCATACAAACTACCACCCTCCTTTTCACCCTCTTTAATGATTTCCTGAATAAAACTATCCTATATCATCTAAATAGGTAGTAATAGACATACAGATAGACAGACACGCATTTATAATATTAGTATGGATTTTAATTTTAATCAATCAAAGAACAGTGTGATACCTTAACGCTTAAATATCTGTTAAGTAAACTATTTGTTCTTTAATATTAACATCACCAAACAAACCAACTGATTTTGAACAAATATTTAATCCAAAAACATGTTATTTTCCGTTGGCTTTCAGTTATTACACGTTAGCACTTCATTGATATTTGTTTTATTACCAATATGCAAGTTTAGTCATATTGCAACCTATAACAATAACAACTGCGCAGAAGCAACTCTGTACGTGTGCTGCCATCTAGCGACACTCGGCTGAACTACATGGATTTACTATTATTTTAACTTTGCACTATAAAAATCTAATGCATATATATAATAGAAATATATAAAGTTTGTCAGTTTGTATATTTGGGATAATCTAAAAAATTACTGGTTCAAATTGAATAATTCTTTTAGTGTTGGATAGACCTTTTATCAAGGAAGGATATAGGCTATATAACATCATACTACGACCAATAGAACAATGATCCTTTTGAGAAGAGAAGCAGACGTTGGGTCTGCTACTGTATCCATTAACAGCAGCCTCTTCAATCCCAAGGCGATCTGTTCCCGTGGCTACCTATCCGTTTGCCTAATTTACCTTTTACAAAGTGATTTACGCCAATTCCAAATAGAATTGGGTGGAAGTTAAGAAAATGCCGATGGTGAATTGTGGAGGAATACTTGTGGTAACGGATTAAGAATACGGAATGTCACCACCCCCATTTATAATGTGGGTGTCGTAAGAGCCGACTAAGGGAGCAAACTACGCAGGACAACAGCACTGCAAAGAGAAGGAAAACTTGAAAGAAACCCTAAACCAACCCGTCTGGCCAGCGTGGTATAGTAGGCCAAAACCTTCTTTCTAAGGAGCGGCCTACGTCCAGCAATGGACTATTGATGATTGATGATGATGTATTTTGGAGGTATCACAGCTGATGCTGTACAGCTCAATATTTGCCATTTTTATCAATTCCAATAAAACTTATCCTACTCTTCGTTTACGAAGAATATAGAAAAGATTTCTTCTTGATGGTCTATACCATCTGTACTTGCCACCAGATCTCCATGGCGGCTAAAAGTGATAACAACATACCCTAGATATCAAAGTAAAACTTCTTTAGCACGCTTGACTTGGGAAGTAAGCTGGTGAATGCGCGACTAGAGCGTTACGAAAAGTGTGATCGGTCGAGGCGAACGGAAGTTGAGAGGGAGATATAAGTTAGTGAAGATAGAAAGAGAAAGAGTTACGTTTGGTATATTACTCCAGGGGCAAGAGAGAGAGGTGCGAGCACACATTTTCTTTCTCTCTTTCTCTCATAGCCAAGTTTTACTTCAGTCGTGTGGTCTAAAGCACACTCGTTTTTAATTTTGTAATCGTAACTTATAAATGAGAATATGGGTTTGTAAAAACCTTGTTCATCCAGAAAAAAACAATATAATTTCCAAAGGGATAAATTGATTGAACAAAAGCGTACATTATCTCGAGCTAAGACACGGTCAGAACATACTAGTAAGACACTGTGCAAACAGTACGCTAACAGTTTTAGGTTCGACAGCCGTAGAAGACAAATATTGAGACAACGTTATTGAAGTAACTTGTATAGTTAACGGTATTCGGACAAACATCCTGGAATAGGACATAACCTACCTTAAACGTGTCAAGAGCGCCATCTATTAATTACATAAGGCATTAATGAATCTGCACTGAGCGCCATCTAGTACTGTCATACGGAACTGACCGTGACCTTTTGGTGTGTTATAAAGAAAACACACAGCACCGTATTTACATAAAAATTTAAAAAATCTAAAGTACTTTAAGCCGATGATATCTGCACTATCAGAGTCACAAATAAACTCACAATTAAATATATAAAACATTAAAATAGCTATAAAGGCAGACAGGCCTGCTCATACAAACACAACACTTTATGTATCAATTCGTACTGCTCAGAATTTTGTACCATACCCCCTCTGTTTAGCCGCATATTGCACACTATACCTAACACATCCACTTTTTGGTCTATCGTCAACTGCTTTATACCATTCAGGATAGCTATCAGACACCCAGTTCGTCCGATCCCAGCGGAACAATGCACTATAGTAGGTGGACTCGAGGATTCCTTTGAGAAATCAAATGGCGTTGATGCACAAACTTTCACTTCACATGGAGTGGGCTGTTCGAGTGGTGGAAACACAAATTTAGAGTCAGATTTTGGTGATTCACACTTACACAATTCTTCGTTTACTTCACTCGGGTTGGTAAAATCATAAACTCGTTCTTTTAAAACGTCCAAACTTAAATTCAACAAAGCGTTCACATCCTTTGGACATTTGTGGTCAGCCCAGTTGTGAAACCAGTAGTGGTATATTGTGACTTCTTCTTCTTCATACTTCTTGTACTTCACATTGAGCTTCCTTATCGTGTATCCAGGTTTTCTGATCATACCCGCATTGGTTATAACGAATTCATTGTCAGGATCATCTGGTGTCTCCGGGCAGGTGATTGTAATTTCCTCGTTCAGCTCCAGTGGGAAATACTTTTCACATTTCTGCCGGTTGTTCTCTATGAAGTTGGTGAGCATGACTACTTTCTGGATCGGTTTGGAGGCAGCATCCTGGTCGAGTCGAGTCTGACTGGCTATGCTGTTTTGGTAGACCATGAGCCAGAAATCGTGGATTGTATTCTGTAGAGGACCTTGGGTTGCTATATATGTGTTTTTGGTGTACTCATGCCCCTGAAAATACAAATTATACACGTCAAGTGAGGTTCGAAAATTATATATCCAAGTTTTAAATATTATTGTTATTTGTTGTTATTGTACTTTAAATTTGGAAATAAAATTGCTAGTCATTGCAAACAAAAAAGAGACAGTTTTAACACACCCAATTTTTTAAGTTAATTTATAAGAGTTTTAAGGCGACAACATGGCTAAGATCCTAGTAACAGTAAAAATACAGGGAAAGTGACTAAACTGAGGAGGAGGAGGAGGAGTCCTGTGCGCTGAACAGATCAGATCAGCGACCCCGAAAACGAAAGAGTCTACGAAGCCATACACACTGCTGAGGATCGAAATAAGTGGAGAGCGGAGTGGAGATCGAAATAAGTGGACCCAAAGAGGAGGGTCTAAGAATTTAATTTAAATAAGGTAAATTTTACTGTGAGGTACAAGAGGTAAAACAAAAAAGTAAAAATCATGTAATTCTTTAATAAACTATTAATTTAAAAAAAAAATATTTACCTTTATGAAATTAGCATTGATGTATCCCTCGACAGTCTCCGAGCTCAACATAAATCTGGAGTGTTCGTTCGGCAAAATTGTTTTATACCTATTCTTGGGATGAGACCCAGATACAATAGGCTTCTCCTGGAAGTTAGTAGGCATATCCCAGAATTCCTGGTGCAAATTCCTAAGCAACGTCTTCTGGTACTCTGAACAAGGCTGGGAAGTCGCTAAGTCTGGGATGGCCATTTGAGGATTTTCTTTAGCCATATCTTCGACCCTGCCTGAACAACAATGAGCGCCTTCTGCAGTATTGTGGCATTTAACTTTGGAATAGCCATTTTGGAACACGTCATTTAAATCTCTTAGTTGTTTTCTAGATAACACACTCGAAGCATTCTGAAGATGTTGCATGTTGGCCAAGTAAAGTCTGAAGTCTTCTGATGTGCTTTGAGGACTCAAGGGTTTAGTGGTTATATTTCTGACTGTCCCAGGTTGGAAATTGGGATCCTCTTGGCGTCCAACGGCGTAAATAATTTCGTTTTCTTGATCCCCGCACACATACGTCAGATTCTGTAGATAATCTTGCTCTGAAGAATAGGAAGTCGACCATAAATTGTCGTGGGATCCAAAACCAACTCCCTTATCCGTTGAACGTAATCTTGTTCGATTTTTATAAGATTTCGGTATCAAATTTTCAGTACTCAAAGACTTCCTATGCTTGTCCCGATGCGGCAAATCTTTTATATTAGACTCTATTAAATTCTCATCTACTTCTAATTCCCTGGGCTCCTGTGGCTGTATGTTTAGAGTAAGAGAAGTGTTCGAGCTGCGTCTCTCTAAAATGCCTTTCCGAGGTTCGGCAGGAGGGTTGTCTATGCTATAATTGCTGTTATATCTACTTAAGTTACATGTTGAGCCGTTCAAATTGTAGTTTGATACGCTTAAACCTCTATTCACAGAAAGTTGAGGGTTCGAATTGTTTATGTTCAAAGTTAAGGATGTATTTGAGCTTCTTCGTTCAAGAAGACCCTTTTTCTGGCCTTGTTTGGCGTCTTTATTGAGAGAAGTATTGCTCGAATGACGACTTAAGTTGTTACTTGAGAGAATGTTTAATGTCAGACTATTGTTAGAGCCTCGACGTTGCAAGAGGCAGTTCTTAGAAACTTCTCCTGAAAGGCTGTTATTTGATGAGCATATAACTCTGGGGGTAGGTAATATTTCGGTGTTGAACGTGTTTGAATCTCGTCTGTCAAAAGAAAGTTTTTTCTGTCTCGAATCGGAATTTAAACTAAAATTGGAAATGCTAGTCCTCACTGTGGCCAAATTGTGACAGGATGTCCCTGCACTATTTAGTGAACAATTCGAACTTTGCAGACTGTGTGTGCTAAGCATTAAGCTCTGGTTAGAATTTCTCCTATGTAACTTTTTCACTACTTTTTCGTCTTCCGCACTTGGTTCAAAATCGTCCGATGGCACACCTTCTGGTAAAGTTTTCAGGTTTGTACTGGATAAGCTCAGGTTCTGTTTGTAGTTGAGCAAATTTGATCCCAAACTTTGGCTTGGATCCTGGTAAGTTCTATTATCAGCACCTGATATATTAATTTCAGGGGTATTTTCAAAATCTGTCATATTTTCGTCAAAGGAGCCCATTGTTCGAGATCCCATTCGGGAAGTACCAGGATGGTATAGCATTAAAGCAGCATGATTTTCCCTTAAAAATATACCGGAATCTTGGCCTTTCATATATAATCGTCGCTGTTCTGCATTCGATTGTATCGAATTATACCCTAACTTTGCTCCAGCAAAGTCATGTTTAACATTCTTTTGTGCTAGGATTCGTTTCAACTGTCTTTTCGGTGTATTGGGCATTGACATTGAATTTTGGGGAACTTCTAAGGTTTTCTTTTGAGGTAGAGAAAGATTTACAGTTTCTGAAGAATCTAGAGAAGTTGCTTTAACCTTTAATGTAGGCGTTTTGACTTTTTTCTCCTCTGCATCTGTGTACAACTTTTCAAATTCGAGAAGTTCTTTTTCGAGGTCGCTATCTCGTTTCGTTAAATCTATTCGTAAATTCCTCAGATTTTTCCCTTTCTTTTTAATCTCAGTTTGAGCAGGCACCGTTGCTCCTTCTTCAGAAGTAATGGTGATTTCAAACTCTTTAGGTGAGAATCTGGGCATGTCGATAAAGGATTGCGTATCAGAACTTTGCCGTAGACTTTTCTTTTGTTTAACTTCGGGAGATTTTGGTTCTTCCTCTGAACTTTTATCTTTTTGTTCGTCTTCGAATTTGAAAATTGGTTTTTCGTTTGTCGGAGTTTTTTGATAGCGTTCCATGCTATCACATGAGGTACTCGTATCTTGATTTTTATAAGCTTCGTTCATTTGATCCTTCATTTGCTTTGCGATAGGTAGACCTAGGTTTTGCTCGATGATTTTAGCGTTATCTGAATCGAGAGATATTGATTTTAATCTCTGTCTTCTTGCTTGTGCTGTATTTGATGGACTAGGAGCTACTACTAACTCATTTGTTTTGTCTTCTAATTTCGGTTCTATTTCTAAAGCATCCATTTTGACACAGCAGTCCGTTACGTCATCACCTTTGATGACTTCTTGTTCTTTATTATCTTCGCATTTAGAAATATTTAATTCAACTGTTTTATAATTCGTATCGCAGCTGTTGTGTCGTCTGTATTTCCTTACATCCATTTTGTCTGCTGGAGGGGTGAAACGTTCCTTCTCTATAGAATTCCTTCCACCATACTTCTTAGGTCTCTGAGATGCTCTACTTTCATCTAAACATGATTGCTCAAAGGTAAAATAGTTCTCTTTATTATAAATATGTACTTTTGGACTAGGTCTGTTTAGGAATCGAGGAGAACTGGGTTTTTCTGTAACTCCATTTCTATTTAGATGATCTCCTAATGCTCGTGGTGATTGTGGAACTTCAGCGTCTCGCGGCGTTTCTGCAAAAAACTTAGGCGACCGAACTGTGTCATAGTAAACTGATTTTGGAGATGGCTCAGCAAAGAACATCGGTGAAACGGTTTCAGGTGGAGTAAAAAATCTGGGTGAAGCCATAGTATCGGCTAAAATTTTCGGTGAAAAATCAAACTTCGGTGCTGAAGATTTTTCTTTCGCAGAACTGCATTCTAAAACTCTTGGAGAGTTCTGCATTTCTAGTCTTTCTTGCTGACCCTCCAAAGGAGGACCTTCGTTTACACTACACATATTTAATCTCGTACTTACAGACCGAAATCTCCTAAGATTACTACTAGGAGACGCCTCCTCATTTGGTGACGTCATCCTATCATCCATATCTTTTTCATTCAATTTCTCAACAGCTTTGATATCGAAACCGAACACTTCTTTATCTTTATCGCTCTTATTTGCGCTAATTAAAAAGGGCGATTTATCGTCTTTTTCCAAAGAAGGTGAGCGAGTCGCGCTCAATTTTTTCGTACGTGATTCCTGCGATAATTCCGCGCCTAAATCCGCGTTGACTAGTTGAGCGAGAGGTCTCGGAATCGTTGTGTATTTATAGTCTAGAGGGCGTTTGTGTATCCACTGTTCTGGTAGAGGCAGTTTAGGGAGGCCTTTGTATTCTGAAGGGCCTGGGGCTCGGGGAGGCTGTGTATTGTTCACAACGACGATTTGAGGAGGAGCGGGTTGCGGATCGGGGCGGTCGGCTGGAGCACCGGCCAGGGTTGCGCGTGCGCGTCGCGGGAGCCCCGGTAGGGCCGCGCCACGGAACACGCCTACAGGCCCGCGACGGGGCACGCCGCGCGCCGGCACCCAAGTGCTCACTACGTGCACCTGGAAAATGATGAAAATTTAATTAAACAATAAATTACATTGCTTTGTAGGTAAGTTTTGAAGATGTGATAAAACACACATCATCCCTAAATATTATCGCTTCAGTGGTAATGATTACTGTAAGTAAGTCAATCAAATAAAAAGTATTCTGTATAATAAATTTGTTGGCACCCCACTACTGTGACTACCGCTTTCCGACACAATTTTTCACAACCTATCTATGGAACGGGTTAGCGTCTGCTGGTATTTCCGGACCGGTATACTACCTTTAAACCTTCAAGAAAAGAGCGTACTCCTTAAAAGGACGGCAACGCGTTTGTGACACCTGAGGTGCAGACTTTTATGGGCGGCGGTAGTCACTTTCCATCAGGTGATTCGTCGTCTGCTCGTCTGCCTCCTCTATCATAAAAAAACTATTTTTTTTTATCTTTGATTAGTGGCATGTACTAACGTGGTGCGGCACTGCGAGTTTCTTGGCGTGACGGCGCGGGCGGCAGCGCGCGGCGAGCAGTAGCAGCAGCAGCGCGGCCGCCGCGAGCGCGCCGCACCACCACCCCGCCTCCGCGCCCCACATGCCACCACCCTCACATCTGAGCAACATACCAAGTTGATCAGTATACGCGAAGACGAGGACTATTGTCCTGATATCTGGCTTGCCTAGAACAGTAAGTATTAATCTATGAGTTTAAAACAAGGCTACATGACACAAACTTGATTGTTTGATTCTTCACTCTTTTTACTTCTGCGTCATTGTCCTTAACATAACAAAGTTTAAAAATATAAAACAATTTTTGAAAATAAACTGATTATATTTAAATTCTTGTAATTATGTGCTTGATTTAAATAATTTAGTATTTTAGCATAATTACCAACAGTTAATTATAGTTCTGCAGGAGGAAAATTACGCAGAAAAATTAAAAATAAAAAAGGACGAATATTCACCCGATTTATGTCAATCTATTCTGCCCATGTTGAAAGTAAGTAAATTAACAGGTATCTATTTTTCTTTGAAATCGGTTTGAATTTTTAAAATGTCACATCATGTAGTGAGTATGTTTGTCACCAATCTGTCGTCGTTAACGTCATATTCCTGTTAGTCTCGTGACTTAGCCGACGCACTTGCATCCCCATTTGGCTTACAGCTCGTCGCAGGGCATGCAAGTTCGTCGGCTGAATCCTTTCAGAGAGGTCAGGAAATTCTCTAGCCTAAATTTCAGTCAACCAGAAAACCGGTTTGTAAATAATAAATGTGTGAGGTGACGGATTAAGAATACGGAGTGTCACCATCCTTATTCATCCCGTGGGTGTCGTAAGAGCCGACTAAAGGAACAAACTACGTAGGACAACAGCATTGCAAAGAGAAGGAAAACTTAACACAAACCCTATACCAAACCCGTCTGGCATAATGCCAAAGCCAAAGCCTCCTTTCCTCCGTAGAAAAGGGATATAGCTGATATGGATGACTTGGGCAATATAAGCAAACAGCTTGAGCAAGGTCGCATACTTATAAATCGGATTGGATACTGTCGGAAAATTCGGTGCCCACTAAGACGAAGTTCTTCGAAAACAAATACCGTAACCGTTATATCGTGTTACTAAAACATCCGATATTCAATACTGGCTTTCTTCGGTTCATACGTTACAAGTAAACGACGATATACAGTCGTAGTTTTATAAACAGTTACGAAAACGAAATGTGATTTATATACAACTAGCTGACCCGCGCAACTTCGTCTGCGTCTCTCAATACTAATAAATTTTCTCCGTTTTTGAAACATTCTTCATTGGTGGTCCGCTTATATTGGTCTTAGCGTGATGATATATAGCCTATAGCCTTCCTCGATAAATGGGCTATCTAACACTGAAACAATTTTTCAAATCGGACCAGTAGTTCCTGAGATTAGCGCGTTCAAACAAACAAACAAACTCTCCAGCTTTATAATATTAGTATAGATTCAGTATTGTGTCCAAGTCCATTATACGATTCCAAATATCACACACCTTTGTAATAAAAAGGATTTAATCACACATTATTGTTGAACTTTATTCTTTACAGAGCCCAGGATCCAGTAATTTCACTCACATCACATCAAGTCTTTAATAGTCCACTGCTGGACATAAGCCTCTCTATAGAAAGGAGGTTTTGGCTTACTATACCACGCTGGTCAGACGGGTTGGTATAGGATTTGTTGTTCTGCGTAGTTCTGTTAGTCGGCTTTTACGACACCCTTGGGATAAATAGGGGTAATGACACTCTGTATTTTTAATCCGTCACCACATGGACTCTCGCTCATTGTAATTGTAATCTCACTCATTCAGTAAAAGCTTCGAAAGGATAGCTAAACACCGGTTTTCTGTGAGCCCACGTGGTAACTCCGGCCGGTCCGGTCTGTGCTTCGGCACAAAAAGGACCGGCCAGCGCATAGGTCTGCCACTATTAAACGGATTTGTGAGACTTGGCTTTATATAAGTTCTAATTTTTCTTGGTTTAAGTCTTACTTGATGAATATTTTTTTGTATGTGTTAGAAACATTATTTTTTACAAAGTTTAATGTATAACTGTAACACTTTATGTCAATTTCAACATAGCGATAATTACTTAATGTGCGTATTTTAGTTTAAGAACAGAGACGACATTGTTTTTCGTAAATATCATTAACCCAATAACACAATAATAATAATAATAATAAATATAATATAATAATAAATAATATAATATATATATAATAATATAATATAATAATAAATATAATAATAAATAATAATAATAAACAATAATAATAACCCCATACACGGCAGTCTGATCTCAAACTAGGCAGATCCTGTTCTATGCTAACCAAACTGCTGACAAACATACTTTTAAATGTCTAAATACATACAAATATTATAGTTAAATTACACCCATACACAGAAAAAATAATCGTGCTCATCACACAATATATTTGTCCTGTGTGGGAATCAAACCCACGCCCTGCGGCTTACCAGACAGGGTCACTAACCGATATATCAACAGGCGAGTTAATATTTGCGTGATCCCTTAAAGTTTTGGGGTCAATAATAATAATAATATATCTCACACATCTCACACACGGCCGTCTGATCCCAAACTAGGCAGAGCCTGTACTATGGTAACCAGACTGCTGATAAACATACTTATATATTTTTAAATACATACATATTATAGATAAATTACACCCAGACACAGAACAAATGACCGTGCTCATCACACAATATTTGTCCTGGGTGGGAATCGAACCCACGACCTCTGGTTTAGCAGTCAGGGCCACTAACCACTAGACCAACAGGCCTGTCAATGTTATGTTTACTAAATATTTTCTTTAAAAAAAATACCAGTGCACAGGCAAATAATTTACAAATGTAGAAAAACCACTCACCATATCTGTTAGGCATAATAACAGATAATTAAATAAAAATATAATTTAATAATGTTACACCACAGACAGCGAGCATCACAATACAACAACTAAACAGCTCACTCGCAGTTTTTTATTTTTATAAATAATATTTTATGCTATTCACTGTGAGTCATCGCATCATCTGAGCACTACGCCATCGTTCCCAGTGATAACACTATCTAATATAGATACCTACTTGTTATACTACTGCGGTGATAAACAATGACTCTAAAAATAAATTATTATGGATGCTAACAAGTTATACAAATGTGCAAGTGTAACTAATGTTCGTGAAGTTAACTTCTATCAGTTAAGTGTTAGCGACAATAGATGGCGTTATACTGACTTAAAAGTCGATGTTGAGATTTGTCAAGATGTCAATGACTTCTGGCAGTTTTGTTTTATTAATCATTCTAGATTGATTTCATATATAGTTAATTCCGTGTCCCAATGGCCTCTCAAATCACAAGATAAACATAAGCGAAAGCAGACCCGTCCTTTTCGAGCAATCTGAGTCCTTCCACTCCGAGATTCGGGGATTCTTTATTTCAGCTCCCTTAGCATATCAGTTTATCTTAACCCAAAATACCTAAAGAATTGGTGTCAGGCATTTAAGCGGCGGCTTGAGGGTCAGACCACAGACAAAAGCAGATCAAAACCTTGCAAGTACCCACTCATCCAGCGCGACAGTAAAAATATTTACTCACTGTCGTTTAGTCTAAAATAATATTACTAAAATTTGGCGTGATGGATTCAGAATACGGAGTGTCACCACCCCAATTCTTCCCCAGGGTGTCGTAAGAGCCCACTAAGGTAACAAACTAAGCAGGACAACAGCACTGCAAAGAGTAGGAAAACTCAAAAAAAAAACCCTATACCAACCCCTCTGGCCAGCGTGGTATAGTAGACCAAAACCTCCTTCCTAACTAGAGGCCTATGTCAAGGTACAATTATAATATGTACCGTGCCTATGTCCAGCAGTGGATTACAGGTTGTTGATGACGATGAATTTTTTTTCGTGCATAAATTGTCATATAAAATATAAACAATAACACACAAAGGTTGCACTCGAAAATATTACCGACATATCAGTAGAATGACGTAGAAATCTGTTGATTAATTTTGGTGACATAATATATACATTTGAAGATGATTTGCACATTTAAAAAGTATCATAAATCATTGAAAAAATACTTATTTACGTAGATTATGTAGCATCGGTATATACAAGCACCATATCTAATCAACTATGTTAAATAAAACATCGCTCGTGAAACATTACCAACACGGTCGCGGATTCGATTCCCGCAAAAGCTGCGTGCAAATCATGAAGATGTATACTAACACAGATATGACTTAACTATCTATACAAATAAATAAAATTGAAGTTTGTTTTACATGTCAAAATAAATAGGTTTCTTCAGGTTCACGCGGTTACTTGCACGATATAGGTACGCCTAAAAACCAGTTTAAATATATTTTTGTCTGTCTGTCTGTTTGATCCGAGTAATCTTTAAAACAGCAGAACCGATTTTAATAATATTTTACTACCAGGTAGCTGTCTATGTAAGAAGTAACTAAATCAATTTTTCCTCTCAGAAAACCACTATAAAATTTTGGCCGGATCGGACTTTCGAACGCAAAAGTTGCTGATTACGAGCAGCTGATGTAAGAGATACCACTTCTGACCCCTAGAATGTAGACGTCAAATAAATGACGTCTGCTTTTTATTAAACATTGCGAACGGATCGTCGGACTCCCCCCCCCCCCCCCCCGGCTTGTCTCAAAAATACGCCTACATGCCAATCCAACAATATTCCGGCAGAGACCATTGTTAAATGTTCCTTTCTTGCGTACTACGATACCTTCCTTGCAACAGTGTTTCTTTAGACCTAGATATTGACCTATTTCATAGCAGCCCACTGCAATAAGGCGGCGTTGGGCAAATAAATTGGTTGAAAACCTTTTCTTTCTTTTTAAAAAGGATTAGGAATATATCCTGTGTCGCGAGGACTTTACAAACATACATGAAACGGACACAAAGAACACCCAGACTCAGAACAACAATTTGTGGATCACACAAGGTGAAGTCCCATGGGATCGATCCCACAACACTCAGCGCATTAGGAATCCGCGAGGTGACCGCTTAAGCCATCCGTGCACTCAAATACTCAAATAACGACACTATATTTCGAGATGTGAATGATCTAAGCTAAGGTTGACGATAATCCGTGTTCATGACACTTACGTATGCTCCCACTGAGCTAGCGTTACACCACTAAGTGCGACAAGATTGACGAAGTTCGTGACTCATTTATTGCAATAATGAACACAACTTAGCAATACAACCCTTGTTGAGTCACAGGGTTGAATATGCAAAGTTGATTCATAATTGCCCAAGAATTAATAAACGTTATATTCGTTTTACAGAAGCTTTTTATACAGATTTAATGTAAAGAACGGAACGAAAGTACGGAGTACTGTAAGAGCCGACTAAGGGAGAAAACTAAGCAGGACAACAGCACTGCAAAGAGAAGGAAAACTTGAAATAAACCCTATACCGACCTATCTGGCCAGCGTGGTACAATAGGCCAAAACCTCCTTTCTAAGGAGAGGCCTATGGTCAGCAGTGGACTATTAAAGGCTGTATAAGATTAAAGTATCTATATAAATTTTATCTTTGATAGGCATATACCATTTTTATCTACTTCGTCACTTTTTATCAAATGATTTGGAAGAACCCATGAAATTGTATTGAAAAAATCCAAAGCTAATTTCTTCAAGATCCGGTTAAATTATCTATATAAATACCTACTTAGATATATAGCTATGGGATTTCCCCGTCTCGAAGCACTAAAAAATCTGTTGTTAGAAGATGTACTGCAGACGACGCACCAGTCTTTAGAAGGTCTGAGACCTAAATGAGACTTGGTATATATTTAACGAAACGTTTTTGCAACAGTTTTCGTTAATGCTGGGGCTCCTATAGGTCGTAGCCGTGACGTTACGCCTATGGTCTTCCTCGATAAACGGGCTACCCAACACTAAACGAATTTGTCGATTCGGACCAGTAGATTCCTGAGATTAGCACGTTCAAACCTTTATGAAAAAAGTGTACTCCTTCCTAAAAGGCCGGCAACGCGTTTGTGACTCCTGAGTTGCAGACGTTTATGGGCGGGTGGTAAAAATACAGAGTGTCACCATCCCTATTCATCCCGTGACTGTCGTAAGAGCCGACTAAGGGAGAAAACTACGGAGAACAACAACACTGCAGAGAGAAGAAAAACTTTACACAGCCAACGTGGTATAGTAGGCCAAAACCTCCTTTCTAAAGAGAGGCCTATGTCTGACTATTAAAGGCTGTTGATGTGATGGGCGGCGATGGTCACTTTCCATCAGGTGACCCGTCTGCTCGTTCTAACATAAAAAAAAAACAAGCAAACAAACTGTGAAACTTTATAACACTAGTATAGTTTTGTATGATCGTATTTAGATGATAATATTAATTATGTAAACATATTAAAGGCTGTTACATCACCAAATGTAGAGGAAAACTGGTTTTGAATGTTTGTACAAAAATGTCATTTCATTATTGGTGATATCATAACGGGTATGTGAAAATGACTAGCGTTATTCTATAGTATTTATGATTGTAGACTTTTTACGGTGGTCGAAAACAGATATCGTAGAAGATACGCTACTAATAAAATAAAAATAACGAAGATTCATATAAATTGTCCGTGTGGTGACGGATTAAGAATACAGAGTGTCACCACCCGTATTCATCCCAAGGGTGTCGTAAGAGCCGACTAAGGGAGGAAACTCTGCAGGACCACAGCACTGTAAAGAGAAGGAAAACTTGAAACAAACCCTATACCAACCCGTCTGGCCTTTCTAAGGAGAGGAAAAAAAGCGTGGGGTGCTTTTTACTATTGACAACAGGCACCCAACGCTTTTTAACTATAATTTTTTTCTTGAACCTTTTTAGTACTTTAAAATAAAAAACGATTAAAGTTATTAATCGTATACGACTTGCATATTGGTCTAAAAGTTATGGGTTCGATTCCGACAACTGTTAGTGTGATGAGCACGACCATTTGTTCTGTGTCTGGGTGGTGGTGGTGGTTGTGGGCTTCGGTTTCCGCATTTAGACTCAAGAGTGGTCCTGTATGCGTCGAGGTTGGTTAGCTAGGTGAACCAACCAAGCTCCTTCCAGAAGCGCAGAAGCCTCCTGGGGCCTTCACAGGCTGTGTCTGGGTGTTAATCATCTATAACACTTGACTGCAATTATGGACTGGATGGTGTAGTGATTTAAGCGGTCCCCTCGCCGCTTCCTACTGCACTGAGTTTTGTGGGTTCGATCACATCCCCAACATTTTGTGTGATCTACAAATGGTTGTTCTTTGTGTCCGTTTCATAAATCGTTGTAAAGTCCCCCGCGACACAGGATATATTCCTAGTGCGGGAGTTGATTAAAATTTAAAAAATGCATTTATTTATCTAAAACCTGACTGCTGATAAACATACTTATATCTATAAGTATATTTATCAGCAGTCAGGTTACACACTGGCACTACCTAGTTTGGGTAATGAAGGTATATGAGATGTGTGCCGTTATTATTATTATTATGGACTACTAGGTGACCCGTTGAACTTTGTATCACCTTTATTTATATATCTATGTATAATATATATATTTACAACCAACTAATATGTCGATCCTTTTCTCCTTCCTATTCATTTGCATCTTTTAAATCTAGTTACACGATAGTTCGAATACTGTGTGTGGCAACTTCCACATACCGCGAAATGAAGAAATTTACTACAGCGCCATCTAACAAATACACATCGAACTACGGAGTAACTGTTAATCCTATATCGAGATATAAATAATTCTTCAACTCATATATACAAATTCCCAACATTAACAGTTGGGCCGCGGCCCGCCCGGTATGATCATTTCGCCTGGTCGGAGGATCCTCCCTTTGTGTAGGA